TATTATTATTATAAATATTTAACAGATAGATTATATATTTCAACTAAAATTATATATTTTAACGGCAAATGGAATTAGTAAATGAATTCAGCTTAATATACAAATATAATTTTTCAGGTGTAATTTTGCAAATATAATAAATTTAAAAAAATGTAACAAATTAGGAGATAAAAAATTAGAGCGATTACTGTCTTTTAAAGACAAAAAAGGAAGAGTTGAACTTAAGTTCTTTGTTACTAGCTATTTTAAAAAATCTTACCGTTCATTTTTTGCTTTTACCAACCGAATGATTTATTAATTTCTCTTAATTAGTCTATTAGTTCATACAATATTATACAGACCTTTTCTAATTAGTCAATTAACCCCGCATTAACAATATTAACAGGTTATCTATGGTTGCTCCACTTAAACGAAATGACCCGATTGATACTTCACGGTTGCCCGCAGCTTCCGATAGAATGATTAATTATGGATTAAATTACTCATACATCTTGTAATTGCGGATGGGGATTTTTGCCTTTTGTTATTGCGTAGGGATCACGTACATATATGAATTAATTGTAATCGTTATACGAATCGTTGTAATAATTGATATAATAATCAAATAGATCGTTGTCATTATGAAATGAATCGTTATAATTAGTAGATGAGTAGATATAATCATGTAAACGAATTGTTGTATTAGATGAGTAACTATAATTATGTAGACGAACTTATGTAGTCATTAGACGAATAGCTGTAATTAGCGGATAAATCTTACAAACAATTGGATAAATCGTTATGATCATTTTAAAAAAGAACTTATGTGAAACTACAGAGGCTAATGTTTTAAGTAAAGAAGTATCTGTTAAGTGATAAAATTGCGTTTTACATTTGATTTGCATGAAATATTATTTCTGACGTGATGTGATGCTATTTTATATAGCGGGAATGATAATAGAAAATTTATATTAAGCGCTACGTTACGATAAGACACTATGAGAAGATTCCACAACAAGATAGTTAAGATCTGTGATCATACACTTTTGTCGGATATTATTATTGCATAAACGTATTGTAATATTGTATTATGATAAGGGATACAATAGGTTTTATTAAAAGATAGCAAATAGCAAAAGTGTCATAAGTGACATCCTAGTAATGTCATATGATACTCCATTAGCGTACAATGTTATAATGAAATTTTATATTAAATATATTAAACCACTTCAATGTTAAATTCTATAAATCATGTTCATGATCAGGTCCATGTAAGAAACTGCTGTGCTAATTGTTTATCATATGAGGTAAATTAATCTGAAATAATAAACTAATCTGAAAAAATGATAAGCTTCAGGAAGACGACCCTTTCTATCTCTGTTTTGCATTCTCTGTAACTGCAACGATGCAAGTCGACATAAATGGCTCAAGTTTGTCAGAGAAATCACTGAATGGTTCGAAACTGAAAGATGCCCATTGTTATGTTGGTTTTGCTAATTTTCCTAATCAAGTATTTCGACGGGCTATCAAAAATGGCTTTGAGTTTACGCTGATGGTCATTGGTATGTTCAGCTTTGTCGATTATATCAAATTTAAAAAGAAATATTATAAGTCGAAATACTTATTTTTATTTGAAAGAATTGGTGAACATTGATCATTAAATTATGTTGATCGATGGATGTAGAAAATTCATTTATCTTTTTTCATTAAATGTATTATCTTTCTTATTTATATGGAGAAAATTATAAACAAAAATGAACATAATTAAATTATTATCTGTTGGATTATTTCCTACTGTAAATGTATATTACATGCTGTAATGGTGTAGTCATGTTACTTAGGTCTTAAACAGTGACCTGCCAAAATTTGTATTGTACCCGTTATTTGTAACATCCAGGATAGTGTATCATGTCATCAATATTCAATATCAAGAAGGAGCAGTAGTTGTTTTGTTCTCAAAATTGTTTTTTAGAAGTATTATTTTGTATTATAGGTTGCTCCGGTCTTGGTAAATCCACTTTTATCAATTCCTTGTTTTGTACGGAAGTTAACGATCCGGATACTGAAAAACGACGCATTTCACCAACAGTTCAAATTGAAGAGAAAGTCGTACGTTTAATGGAGAATGGTGTAACTTTGAACCTTACACTGGTGGATTGTCCAGGTTTTGGTGATGCGGTAGATAACAGCAAATGGTTAGTAATTACTTTATTTTGATAACTCAGAACTTCATGCTATTTTCGTGGTCGATGATTTCATTGGTTCTCATTGTTTTAATTCACACTTATATTCATATCATCCAATATTACAGCATTCACAAAATTCTTTATTTAATTTCCGTATAGGGAATCGTTGTATTTGGTGTCTCAAAAAATGAGGTCTTCATAACATTTATCATAGACGAATAAAACGGAAAATGTATTGATGAATATTGGTGGTATATCAAATTAAACTGTTCTCAGTCATGCAGTCGGGGCAATATTGTTGAGTGTTGCCGATCTTTCAGGAATTTCAGATAATTTCATTCATATTAAAGCATATTATAACTTGCAGTTGGGAGCCGATCGTAAACTACATCGAAAAAAAATATTTGGATTATTTTTCGGAAGAAACTAAAATTGAGCGTGCAGCAACAATCCCTGATAAGCGTGTGCATCTTTGTCTATATTTCATCAGCCCAACCGGACATGGGTAAAAATTTTTGTTTGTAGGTTTCGAGGCTGAGATAATATCAATCAAGTTCGATTGGACTATCGTAAAGTGGAATGTATATCTCGAATGATTTGGTGAATATTATAGTCTCAGAACGTTAATTCATTCTTTATTTGGATAAAGCAATTAAATTAATTCTAGAATATAGGTGTTTGAGTTTTCAAAGATGGATATTTTAGTTGGTTAGTTAGAGAGTTTCAGATTAAAACAACTCGATGTTGAAATGATGAAGAAACTTCATGATCGTGTCAATGTCATTCCAGTTATTGCGAAAGCTGATACGTTGACAGCAAGCGAGCTGTCGCATTTTAAAAATCAAGTATGTTAAAATTATTTAAAACTATTATGTTCATAATATCAATTGAAAAATACTGTAATTTTTGATTCTTTTATTTTATTTAATTTTGTGAGAAACATTTCAAAAATCGATTTTTTTTCTGCTCGTACTGATGAATAAAGCATTTTAACATTTTGTACTTTGACTAATGTTCATACTTTTCATGCTAAAAATGGATAATACTGGAGGACGCAAATTTTGAAGTTTTATAAACTAAGGCAAGACGCTATATCCATAACAGCATAATATAAATTCAAAATGATGAAGAGGATTTGAAATTTATAAGCAGGAACATATCCTTCACTCTTTTGCATATAAATTGAATCGTAAAATTAATTTCAGTTTCTTAGGTACGAGATGTTCTATTTTTATTTGACTGTAGTTATAATACTTACTCGAGGTTAGAAACAAGTTTATTTAATGAAAATAGGTTGTATAATTGCTTACACTGGTTTTTCATCTTATGTTAATTTATTGTGTAATATTTTTTTAGATAACAAAAGAGATTGAAGAGAATGGTATCAAATTGTATAAATTTCCGGATACCGAAGATGAGGATGAGAAAAGACAGTTCGGACCTCTTCGTGATCGGTTTCCATTTGCTATTGTTGGCAGTAATCAGGTAGTTCTTTTTATTTTTCACAAAGATATTCTTCTTTCTCTTTTTTCGCACTTAAAAGATTTTAATATCAAATAGCTAGGTTCGCGAAACCAATGGACGTCGATGTCGCGTGAGAGATTACAGTTGGGGTACGGTTGAGGTTGAAAATCTGCAACACAACGACTTCATCGCTTTGCGTGACACCGTCATAAGGTAACACTGCTTTATAATAAAGTTGAGGAATCAGTTGCTAAGGTTCGAAGATCAGCGGTTTAACACTGGTTTTTTATTATTTGTCTGCTAATAATAAGGACCAAAAAATTCAGGATGAATTTGATAGATTTGATCGCAGTAACCCGTAGTGTGCATTATGAAAATTTTCGCTACCGGCAGTTGAACAAAGGACCGAAGAATGCGATAGACAGGTGATCCATAATTATTATACTGCTTTTGTGGGATGCTTAATATTAATAAGACATCCTAATTTAATTTACTGTTTGATGACAAAGATAATATAAGACAAATCCTGCATTTCAATTCACATTTCAAGAGAAGTTGTATTACCCTTTCCGAATGTCTTGGATATACTTTTTCTACAAGGCGGGTAAAGCATTTAATAGAAGAGCCACTATGAAAAAGTGGAGCTGTCAAATAATTCATACATTGATTGGAGTATTAATATAACTTTTGAATAGTAGGAAGTAAAAAATTGCTGTATTCGAGATCCTATACTTTTTTAATCCAAGATTGTTGTATGCTTTATTTTTGATTTACTGGATTAGTTCTGAATTCAATCAATCGTATTCCAGAGATCCTTTTACTCAGTTGGAACATGAGAAACAGATCAAGGAAAAGGAGCTTGAGGAACGAAAACGCAGCATGGAAAAAGTAAGCTTCTCAAGAAATCTACTTTGATGAGTGTTTTTTAGTTAGTCTATTTGTATATCTATAAATTAAGGTGACACTTCATTAATTTATTAATTATTTTTTTTCAGGTTTTCGAAGAGAAAGTGATGGAACGCGAAGAAAAGTTAGTTGCGCGACAGTCGGAGGTCAGTTTTGTGACATATAATTACGTCTTGATTTGTTTTAGTAGTGCAAATGCTTACATACTTACATCTTATAGTTACATCAAATTTAAGCATTGAAACTAGCCGATTTTGTTCATAGCATCTTCTAGTGGTAGTATGACTGTGCAGTAGATGTACTCCTGCATTGTTCATTTGGGATTTCTTCCTCTATCAGATAAAGCTCTAATTTCAACGACGGATTGAACATCTTTGCAAGGGCAAACCTGGGAAAACGTTGAAAAAAACGTCTAGGAAAAAGCCAAGTTTTTCTAGATAGAGCTTTATTGGTTTGCTTGAAACTTCTGAGTTAATATGAAATCTCACTGTAACTTTAGAATGGAACCACATATTTTCTTGGAAATATTTACGATTTAAAAGACATCAAGTTTTTTCTGTAATTTGAAAATTTATTACAGCTTGACGAGAAAGAGAAAGAAAATCGTCGGATATTGCAAGAGCGCCGCCTTAACTTAGAACAGCTGATGGGAGAAGTAGTTGAACTACGTCGAAATAATGGGACCGTTTCACGACAAGACTCAAGGTCGGTAACATTCTCTCTTAAGAGCAAATAATGTCTCTGATTATTCAAGATTTTTTGTGCTGCAGTGACTTTCTTCTCTGTAATATTTAATTCAGTAAAAATTGCAGTAATTGAATTGAAATTCATGATGACTCTTGGCAATTACTTTTGAGTTATTTGGTTCGTTTTAGAAGCTCGCCGTCCGAAAAATCGTCTCGTATGAAAAAGGGACTCGGTGGGATTTTCAAAAACTGATCACTGGCTAATTCCAAAAACTGACGTGCAATAACCGACGAATTTCTGTCCTGACAAAATTTATGTCTGCCACTTATTACTGGAATTTTCTTGATCAAAAACTGTAATTGTTAAAATTAATTTTCATCAAATGGGATCTGCAGAACTTTTGAATTATTAAGATTTCCTATCGCTGCCGTTTGTAAAAATCAGCTTTTTAGAGAATTTAAAGAGCAGTAGTAAGTCTTTCACCGATCAAACTGTCAAATAAAGATAAATAGTATAAAACTAACCTAATGTGGAAGTTTCATTATCTCGGGAAACAGTCTTCGGAAATTTCTCATCGCTGAAAATTTTCCAAGTGTAGATTTCGTTTAAAAATATTTCGGTTTTATTTCCTTATCTTTTAATTACTTAATCTGTCATTTTTTCAACACAATTTTTGATCTCTTCACGAATTCTTTCCACTATTATTGTCACTTTGCTCTTAAATTCCATTGAGGTGTCTATCTGTTTTACTTACTGCTATTTCAATCACCGAATTAAAGAAATGAAAGAAAAGCCTTCGTCATTATCTGGGAATACTTTCAAGCTAAAGAATTGTGGAAGCAATATCCCCAATTTTTTTTAAAATTTAATTTATTTTAAACAAAAGCTATTAGCTGATTATAAGTAAAAAATTTTTGTTAACTTGTTGTTCTTAAATTTGAAACTTGGTGAAATTCTTGTTGAATGAAGTGTAGTTTCCAAACAAAAATGTTTTCATCCTGACAGAGAAACAAATGCATCATCAAGGGAAGGCCAAAAGAAATTGAGTAGCCGGCTTTCGATTTTCTCTTTCACTTTTCAATGTTCTCAGTTTAATTGCATTATTACCTATCTGTTTCTCTTATCCATTACGCTTTGTATTTTATTCGTTATCCTCGTTAAGAAGCATTGTTGTTTAGACTCACTCATGAAATTATATTCATCAAATAAATTTCACAATTGAATCTACGTATTGCAGAAATTCTACTCCTAAATAAATATTTACAAAAGATTTTTTTTTTTTGAAAAAAATTTCTTGTCAATATTTTTTTCTAAATTATAACGTTTCGATCAATATCTATTAAGATCACTCAGTCATAATATCTCGGACTTATCCCAATGAATATATTTTAATTTTTACAACAATCTATGCTGCAAAAAATCAGCCAAACCTATCAGATTATTTTGTTATATGGAAAATAGTGATTTTCAAAATTAATGATTTCATTAAATGATAAATCAATCATTACATTGAATATTTTATTATGAATATAATTTACTATTTGACGATTTTTGCAATCTATCAAATCCAGATTATTAAAAAGGAGAAATATCGCAGCATAGCTTATTTATATATCCTAGTACAGAAGCTGACCTGAAATTTTGTAATAATTTAAATCATTAATTTTGTTTAATTTGTAGAAATACGTTTAAATTGGTAAAGATTGAATAAAAAATGAGGGAAAGTTTAATTAGACTGATTAGAAATTCCTTTTCATATCGGAATTTTCATCAATTTTTTCATTAATTTAAAGTTAGATTTAATTATTTCCAATCAGGTATATACACATATATGCATATAACTATTCTCTAATAGGTATAAATTAATCAATTAGATTTAAATTGTGGGATATGAAAGATAGGTAGGTGACAATGGCTGTAACTATGGTGCATAATCGGTTGGCAACCATTATATAAATTACTACCTTATATAGTTGAAAATTTTCAGAATGAATTCATTTAATAATACGCCGAGAAAGATATTCGATAGTTACAATTTATAATAATTGCTAGACTACCGTATATGTTATAAAATTTAAATAATAATATGCATTTTTCTATAACAGGTTTTTTTAGTAATTTATAAATTAAAAAATTAATTTTAAAAATTTTTAATTTTTAAGTACCATACCTTTTTTTTTAATAGTAAGCAATATGAAGTTGTAATGAAATAAATTTTAAAAATTTAATTAAATTTAATTTTATGATAAATTAATTATTGATTAATTACATTAGTTCTATTGTTTTTGTATATCAATTAAGTGTAAAATTTTAAATGATAGAAAAATTATAAGAAATCAATTCAATGAAACAAATTTGATAATTTTTTATTAGTCAAATTATATTAAAAATATATATGCGTAATGTATTTTAATTACTTAATTTTACCTTTATTTACCTTTAATTTAACCTATATTTCAACAATTTATTCAATGAAACAAATTTGATTGCTCTTTAATAAGTATGCTTAAAAAATTTTTTGAAAAATTTTTGAACTAAAAAAAAAGATCATAGTAATTTAATATTTATCATATCATATTCCGGACCGATAAAATGTTGCTTATTCAGTATCATATTCCGGATCGATAAAATTTTGCTTATTTAATATTTAAATTGGTATCATATCATATTCCGGACCGATAAAATGTTGCTTATTCAGTATCATATTCCGGATCGATAAAATTTTGCTTATTTAATATTTAATTTGGTATCATATCATATTCCGGATCGATAAAATTTTGCTTATTTAAGACTATAAAATTTTTGAACTAAAAAAAAAGATTATAGTAATTTAACATTTATTACATAGTAATTTAACGTTGTTAATGCAAAATAACAATTAAAAAATTTATTTCATATAAATTTAAATTTAAAATTTTCCATGCAAAACATTTTTTATCCATTTATGATGAATGATAAATTTTTCTTCAATTTTCCATTTTTCATTCATCGATATGTTGTCATTTTAAAAAGTTACAACAAAAAGTCATTTTAAAGTTTAAGTCTTTTTCAGTTTCTTTTCAATCAATATTTAAATTTAAATTTAAAATTTTTCATTCTTTCTTTCTTTTCCGTTATTTTAATTTGATTATAAAATGAAATTTCAGCTGAACTGCTAAAAAAAGAAATGGAACAAAAAAGGGAAAATACTCCATCGAAGGGACAACGTAGCAGTGA